AAAAAAAAAAAAAAACATCTCAAGACTTTCTAATAGCAGTGCAGCCCGATTAACACACCTCATGAATCAGCGTGGCAGAAAGCAAAGTTTCTGCTTCAGCAGTTAAGTGCCGAGGTGCAACATTTACATGACCTGAACATAAAAGTGATCATATATGCAATCAAACTCCCTCTTTGTGGGACGCATCTCATCTTATCGTAAAGAAAGAGAAAAAGACAAAAATACCAGCAATAGCACGACCCCACTGGTCCCGTTCGCATGCCACGGCCCATGCCAGAGTGTTTCCAGTGGTTGGTCTTGTTGTGACCAAAAGAACTAAATCCGCATCAGCAACACCCTCTAAAGAAGTTGGTAGAAATAACATATTGAATTACTTGTGAGAATATAAGATGTGTATAGAGACCATGCAGAACTAATCTCAATTCTTTAAGTTGCGAGTCATTTTGCAAGAAAGATAACCTTCGACATATTCCCTGGGAAGCTGGACACCTCCATCCTGACCACAGGCAGAATATCCACTGAGCCGCAAATTGCCCTTTACGGGCTCAACAGATAAGGCTCTCCTGAACCATTCTGCCGTCTGTCCCAGAGCCTGGAAAACACTCTAAATGTTAGTTATTCCTAACACACCTTTTAAATTGTGCCATATATAATGAAAATGACTAAGTATATCATGTAAAAGTATTCAAACTTAAAAAAAAAAAAAAAAATGAACAATGAAGCATATTCATAAATCCAGTTAACAATAATATGCATTTTGTTAAGAGAACAACAATGGCATCTCTTAATCTCATGTAAGGTTAATTAAGAGCATCGTATGGAGAAATGGGGCAAAAAGAAAGTAAGAGCATAACCTTGCGAAGACGGTACTTTTTGTCCTCCCCAGCTACATCATCTACTGTACAATTATACCAACAATCACCATAAATCGGAGGCTCCCCATGTGGGTCACACGAAGGACCACCAGAAAAGGAAGCATCATTTGGCTCGCCCAGCTGGCACAATGTAACATAAAAACAATAAAAAAGAGATGGAAAATAAATAAATTAACCAATAACAGCAAAATATGAATCCAAAAACTTAAAATTAATATCAGACCACAATTTTTTTCTGGTTCCATATTTGTCGCAGACACTCACCTTCACTATGTCCCCCACATTCCTGCAGTCCCTATCAGACGAGTGGCCAACAGCGTCGTAATTTAAATAAATCCTAATGGGTTTCTTGGCATCAACTTCATTTCTTGATAATTCAGGCACACTAAGCAAAGCCCTTCCTTTACTTTGGATGGTCTTCTGAACATCAGGTTCAACATAGACCTGAGTAGACACGGTGAACACCTTTCGCCCTGGTCTTTTTCTGTGTTCAATAATCTGCTCGTGAATGCAAGAATGTTTGACTATATTATCTTTGCTCAGTTCGGCTCTCGGCCTTTGCAGTCTAAAAACTTCGGCCGTTGCAAATGCAGCTTCCAAAAGCAGCAAAAATAGCAGAACCTGAAATAACAAATGGAGTTCATACGATCAGGAGACTTAAATGATCCAAACTGAGATCTCTTGAACTCAGCTTCTACAGTAAAGCTTAGTGTGATTGACTTCCAAGAATAAATGGTATAGAAAGTAAGAGATTTTCTAGAAATATGCTACAATGAGATTGAAATTGCACAGAGATAACAAGCTGGATCTAAAGCACCACTAAAACCCGAAAAAATATTCAATTGACACACATTTTAGCCAAAAACCATTAGCTCAAGGGGATGGCAGGTGAGCACACAAACCTTGAAGAAGGTCGATATTTTAGAGAACGGACAAGATTGATATTGGTACACATTTGATTATTAAAAGGAGTGAGAAACAGAAAAAAATTCCTGTAAAAGGGAGTTAAAATACCCAGAAAGGAAATTATCCAAGAACACAGAATCGTAATAATTAGCCCATTGCAAGAAAAATAGGTGAAACTCTCCAGAGTTCATAACAACAAATTCACCAAAAATAGGAACAGAACACAAATTACACACTATAAACTGAGTTGAGCTAGGAACTGCGACAGCTAACAAAATCTGAGATAAAAAATTTCTACTTTCATCCCTCAGCATCACCTTACATCAGCACTAACAGTTTAGAAGGAAAAATGATAAACAATAGTAATAATAATCGAAAAAAAAAAAAAAAAGCAGTAGAGCTTACCTTCACAAAGGCAGGGAAATTCAGCTTAAATCTTCGGAGTGAAGGAACCTCGGCACATCGGTTGCACCGAAACCTCAGCTCCATGAAACGACGGCGTTTGGAGTGAAGAACAGCTTCGTTGCCATCAAATCGCCGGCACTTCCCCGATTGGCTCCGACCCATAAGACAACCTCAAAAGCCCCAGCATTATACGACGCAACCACAAAAACCCAGACACTGAAAACCCTCAAACTCCCACAAATTATGTTGTAAAAATCTCAGCTTTCGAAGAACTAATTCTTCCCCCAAACGACAGCTCTTCCTTTTAGTGTGAGAACCTACTACACTGTTTTTTATCCTCAAAATTCACAGTATGAAAGCTCTCAACGATGCTCAGCTTCAAGAAATTACACAGCAAACACTAGAAAGATGCACATTTTGTGAAAATTAATTATGCTGCTGTAATGTAAAATACAAAATAGTGAAGATATAATAAATAGAAAAAGGAATAATTGTGTGTTCCTTTTTTTTTTGGTGGGTGGGTTGAGTTAGATTGAAAAAAGCTATTTGGTTCGGTAGATATGTTCAATTTTCATTTTTTAAATGGGATAATTCATTAATAGAATATAAGAAAATGTTACAGTCCTGTTGCGGAATTATTCTGTCAGAGTTTGTAATTGTTAGATCAACTATCTATGACGGTTACATAATGATCTAACAGTTACAAATCTGGCATCCGGCCGGTCACGGGCCATGGTGTTGAGGCCCGTCGACCCGGCGGGACGGGGTGGGTCGTGGCCCGACACTTGGCCATGTCTAAAACTACAATACTCTAGTGAAAAATACTTTTATTATAATTTTCAGTGTTTGTTATTATTTTACTATTTTTTTAATTTGTGTTTGGGTATTGGGCAACCATAGACATATGTATATTTCAGGACATGATATGGATTAGTTAAATTGGAGTTATTAAACGAAACGAGTCATTTATAAATATGAATCGAGTTTTAATTTGTCTAGGTCGATTCGGCTTGTTAATGCTAAAAAATATGAGTATGTACATATTGTTTTGTAGTTTAGCTTTGTTAAGTCTTAAATTTTGTTTTGTCTCAAGTCCGGCTCGTTAATATTAATAAATGAGTCGAGTTCAAACTCATTTCATCAACCAATTTGGCTCGGTGGAGGTTCAAGCCTAATTTCGAGTATAAGAAGTTCGAATTCGGTTTGACTCGTGCATACTCTAGACAAGTATTTCCAAGAAATCCAAGGGAAAAAAACCATGTTTGATATGAAAATGTCATGGATTGAGTTGCTTAACAAAATAGTAATGAAGTGTTTTCAAGTAACAAAATGCCCAGCTCACTTTATTAACTCTAATAGGGAAAGAAAAAAACGACCAGGGTGCTGAAGTTGATATCTGCTTTTTAATATATTGAGATCAAGATAGATTTGGATAAAATTTATTTAGTCTAAAAATGGGGTCATGTAGAAAAAGGCAGTTAATGCTACAATTATTTGATTAGGTAAGTGTCTAATATAATGGTTTCATTACATGATTTTACTAGTACGTACTCGTGTGATGCACGAGACAAAAATATTAAATGAGTTATTTTCACAACTTTGTCCGTTTAAGTCTAAAAAGTAATAATGTTTATTTTCTACCTCTTTTAATAAGCGTTAAGTCTAAAAAATTATTAAGCCGCCCTCTGGCAAATATGTATGGAGTTATATGTTCGTGTCTCATAAGTCACAAACATTATGAAAACATTACAAATTATTCATTCAAACTTTTATTCATTGCAAATATATTAAAATAGTTTATATAACAGTCATTAAATATCACTTTCAATATATTTATAAATAAAAAGTACATAAAATTTCTATTGTGTTCAAATTTAAATAATTTTTTACGAGCTCAATTTTAAATCATCCAGACATTTGGTCAAATGCATATGTGTGTTCAAATTTAAATCATTGGCATTTTGGTCGGTTGAAATTTAAATCATCTACCATTGTAATGTGATGTGTATTATATATATATATATATACAATTTTTTTAACAAATAATATGTGCTTTATAAAAATAATAATAATAATTTCACAAGATTTTAAACGCAAATTGGTAAGTTGTATTGAAAAGGTGTTATGAGATCAAACAATTAACTAAAATAATTAAATAAAATACTTGATGAAAATAGAATGTATTAATTACCTTTGACTTTTCTTACTACTAATTCTAGTAAATAGAATGTCTTTTTATATAAGTATAGATTATACGTGGAGTGGTTATTGATTAAAATTTTAAAATTGAACAATATCTGATAAAAAAAACTATATAACACAAGTAAAAAATAACTAAAAAAATATAAAAAAAGTAGGGGTGGGATTTTATACCGATACCCGGAGAATCAAACCGGACCGAACAGAAAATAACCGGTTCTGTTCGGTTCGGTTATTTTAAAACAAAAAAAAAAAAATCGGTTCCGGTTATTTTTTGCACAAATCGGTTCCGATTCTCGGTCCTTTCCAAATGTTTGTGTATTAATCGAAAACTCGACTATATATATGAAATATACATGTTTTATATGTTTATATATATAAATCGATTCCAGTTCTTGGTATATAATATCCGGTCATTTTTCATTCTGGTTCTCGGTTTTTTCATGATATATTTATCACATTAGTTGCATTTTTTTGGTTGGTTATTAAATCAAAACCGGTTATTACTGATTTTTTTTTTCATAAGTCGGTACCTGAATAACCGTAAAATCTGAACTGTTATAACACGGTTCGGTTCTTTTTCGATTTCTATGAATATATGTGTAATAATCGAACCAGTTATTTTGGTTCGATTCCGGTTTCAGTTCTGGAAAAATTCGTTAGGAACCGGATTGATCCCAAGCCTTAAATAAAAAGGGGATAAGAGCGAAAGGAACACTACTACAAAAACTCTTACATTCCAACGAAAAATTTTCGTTGAATTCTAAATTCTTTATATTTTTCGTTGGAATAACTATTCCAACGGATATTCCTACGTATAAAAATTCGTAGGAAAACGGCCGTTGGAATAGCTAAAATTCAACGGAAAATCTTATGAAAATAAATTCTTACAATTATTCCAACGAAAAAAATCCGTGGAATTCCTCAACCATCCAACACTTATTCCAACATAAAATTAAGTTGGTTGGAATATTATTTGAAATTTCTAATATAAATTTTTGCCGTTGGAATTTTTCATTAGAATTAAAGTGTTTTCTTTTGTAGAAAATGCCAAACCGAGTGAAATTTTGGCCTAGATATTGGTTTTGGCCACATAAATAAAATTGAACTTGGATGAATATTTATTATCGAAACATTGACTTTTCAAACACTTTCATCCTTAGTTTAATTAATAGAATTACCGTATAATTGATATAAATACATGAGACAATCAGTATAAATTGTAAAATAAATAATATTTTATATAGTGTAAAATATAAATTTGTAGCCAAGTAATTTTCTTCTTTGTATATAATAACCTGTTACTTTTAATTTTAAACTCTTTAGAATTAATCATTAATTAAAAAAAAAATGTTAAAATCTCGTTACGGAATCATTCCGTCGATATTTGTAAGCGTTAAATCATAATGTAATAATCGTAGATAGTTAATTTAACAGTTACAAATCCGACGGAATAGTTCGGTAATATTAAAATCTCCCTAAAAAACATGCATAGTATAGCATCAATCATTACGCTATATATGAAAAATGAAAATAAAAGAAAAATGTTACAAAGTTTGGTCAACCTAACGTACAGAAGAAAGTTTCTTGTTTTTAATTTTTATTGTTGAGTCCACTGTGTTTTCAGAAATATGCAATCATTTCATCACTGTTTTTTCCAATCTATATATATAAAAAAAAGGTTGATGGAAAATTCAGAAATAGTAACTTTAAATAATTGTGTTGACTTTTTGACTTTCTATTAGTAGATTTGTTAAAAATCTGTATTTTTTTTTCTTAAACCAGTTTTTTTATTATTTTTTTTTTTTTTTTATTTTTTTTTCTGAAATCACGTGTTTAAAGTTTCTTAAATCCCTTGATTTCAGCTCACGCGCCTATTAAGGATCTAGCGGATTTTTAGGTGATTTCATTCATAATTTAGGTGATTTCGGTTATAGATTTAAGCTGATTTCATATTCAGTTATTGCATTGCACAATTTAAGGGATGAATGTATATCACCTAAATTTCCATAATTATCTACCGTCATTTTTTGTTAATAAAACAATATCTTTTCAATTATTTTCGGTCAATTCAAACGTGCATAAAAAAATGTATAAAATGATCACTAGAACCAATGGTTCTTCACATCATAAGCGACAGACTGAGGAATAAAAATACAGGAAATAAAAATACATCACATCAAAAAAAAATGCTGCCACCCTTTGGTACCGTCGACGGGAGAGCTTGAATGCATTCCATATACTGCTTCATGATGCAAATGTAATTTTTATTTTAGTTAAATCAATTTATATAATTCGAAATAATTTCTTTGTTAATATTTATAAATTTATATCATAGGTTTCATAATACGTTCTCCATATATGGATGCATTTCGAGGTAAAATCAACGAAGGCGAGGTGTACTCAATACAAAACTACAATGTTTAATTTAATAATAGGAGGAGATATATCATGAACATGTGGAAACTTGTGCTTCATCGAAGAACTCTACTGTGCAACTATGACGAGAATTTTCCTCAATATGGTGATATTCTCGCTCAACACTAGCGAGGATCAAGAGAGATTGAAGATATTTAGTTGAAAAGAATTCCGATTTACATTATAAATTTTATTAGTATTCCATGTCGTTGAATATTATTATTTCTATTATGTTTCGTGGTCAAAAATTTATTTGTGTTTCGTGATAGATCACTGTGGTGATTTTAATTATGTTACAATTACAATTAGCTTAATTTATTTTTCGTATTTATTTTTTAAATGAATCATTACATGCTTGCAAAACGTTTTTTTTTTGTTTGTTTTTAATTATATATATATATATATATATATATAAATAAACAATTACTAAATTTTCAATTGAGAAACAGGCGTGTATATAATTAAATAAATATTTAAAATTATAATAATAATCATACACAAACTATATAGAGAATAACAAATTTTGACAACATTTTCATATAAAT